GTGGCCCCCCCCCCCCAGGCTTTGTGTATGTGGTGAGGGGGCGGGTTGCTTGCTCAGGGCCAGGGGCTGTGCTTGCCTCTTGCAGGGGGGACTAGGCCAGGGCAGCACTGGGACAGGGTGGCTACAGGTGGGTTACAGCCACCCCAAAATTCACTGTTGGTGCCCAAGCCCACAGCAGGCAACCTAGCCTCATCTCATGCACAAATCCAGGGGGCACGTGCCCTCTGTCTTCCCCAGGGGTGCATGCAGTGGCAGGGAGCTGCCTCCTTTTTCCCACCCCCTGGCACCCCCCTTCCCTCAGGACAAGCCTCCTGCAGCTCTGTCCAGCTCCTGGGGTTGCATTCATCATCCTGGTTGGGCAGCACCTGCTCCTGCCCCACTCCCTCCTTCACTGCGGAGGCCTCAGTCTGCCCCCCTAGTCTCTTTCCTCCCACACACTTACCAGCCAGATGCTGCTCTCCAAGTTCCCCAGCTGCATTCCTGGTCACATGTGCGCTGCAACTGTGCACATGCACACAGCACTTATTGGTGACACTATCGGCTACAGCAGCCAAAAAAAGCCAAATGCTGATGCTAATTTTCCTTTTATTGGTGCCAATCTGATATGGGCTGTTTTTAAAAAAAAATTATTAATATTATTTTTATATCTGTGTACCTCTACTGTTGAACTCACTGTGAGCTTCTTAGGGAGGGGTGCTTAAATGACGCATTGATCCTGAGACCTGATGGTGGTAGCAGTGGGAAAGGGTGAGTTGTGCGCCATGATGAGAAGGCTTTCACATGAATCGCTCAGCCTTGCTGCTTTTATACTGAATATTGTTTCCAGTGGAATCTTTATGTTGAATCGGCAGTGTCACCAATTGACCCTGTATTTCTTTTTCTTCTACCAGATGCCATCTTGCATATTTTGATGCAGAGGGCATTCGCCACCAAGGACTAAACCTAATCAGTTAGGTGCTCTCTTCTTAAGCAAGCACCAAATAGAATTTAAAGTCACACTAAGGAGCTTGACTATTTTAAAGATCACTCATCTTAATCATCTTTATTGTTTTGTTTTTTTTTACAGGTGTTCTGTTTTTGGGGGGATTTTGACTTGTTAGGAGGCTTCTGCCTGAGGGATACAAAAATAGGTGCAGATGCATGGAATTGCACCTACAAGACTTAGTTTAATGTACTTATTATTGCTTTTATTACTGCTTTAAAACTATCATTGCTTTAAAGAACAACTTGTATAACTTTTGTCTTGCTCCTTCCGTTTTGTTGTGTTAGGCGTTCTCTCTGTATGAAGATGAAATCAGTGATTCAAAAGCACAGCTGGCTGCAATCACCTTGATAATTGGAACATTTGAGAGGATGAAGTGCTTCAGTGAGGAGAACCATGAGCCTCTGAGGACTCAGTGTGCACTGGCGGCTTCAAAGCTGCTTAAGAAACCAGACCAGTGCCGGGCTGTTAGCACTTGTGCACATCTGTTTTGGTCTGGTCGCAACACTGACAAGAACGGAGAGGAGGTAGGAGAGCATAAATCACGAGTGCATTCTCCCTCCCTCTTTCTCCAAAGAGTCTTTCATACCTTTCTCCAAAGGGCGTTTCATACCTAGCTGTATTTGTATCTGTACTGTGCATCTGGTAGAGATCTTAATTCTCTTCCATTTGTTAGAACAGACACAGGCTAGAGCAGGAAAAACTACAGAACAGAAGTCATTTGAGTTGAGCTCAAATTGGGCAAGGTGTTGCGAATGTCACAGACTAAGTCTTTAAGGACTTGGAATTCTGCTGCTTACACAAGGAGGTGGTGGCTAAATCTGCCTGCAAAAATAGTAAACAGCATTACTGCAGGATGAAGTTTCATGCTGTTCACTGAGAGGTCAGGAAGCTTTGGTCTACCCTGAACACACGCAACTCCTTTCCCATTTTGTAGACCTTGCAGTGGCATATTGCATTTTTTTTAATAGTTAAGACCTGCAGATATTGTGTGATCTTGTAAAGTATTTGTATGATTAAAAAGTCAAGTTGACCATTTTCAATTTTGGTTTATTGTTTAAGGTTTGGCCAGACCTACAAAACCCATCAAGTGCAACCGTTTCAGTTGCAGAAATTTTTCACTGCTAAACTGTCCTGATTTTTTGTTTGTTTTTTGTTTGTGAGTTTTTTGTTTTTTGAGAAGTGTGTGCACTTGATGGTGAAGCCAGATTCTTCTGTAGAAAACTCTACAGATTCTTCTGTAGAAAAGTGGGAGTTGAAATGAACCCCAATTTTTCCACCGGGTGATCACTGAAAGTTTATTGTTCTTATTTGGTGGTGACTTGTGTGGTGGGCCAGTAGGGAGCACTCCGCAGTGAGGTGTGGGGCTCAATGCAGCCCAACCACCTTCCAGGCTCCGAGTGCCTCTGTGGGGGCGCTTCACGTCTGGCTGACCCCCTTTCTGGAGCATACCTGCTAGCCTGGAGGTAACAGTGCCACCACCCAGGGATGGGCTTGATTCTGGCTCTGTGCCCCCTGGGAAACCACAGGCCTAGTAGCTGTTGAGGGTACTTGACTAACTTCAAGAACTTGGGATGCTTCCCTCAGTCGGGAGCACAAGTAGAGGTCTCCCTTAGCCAGCTGAACCAAGGGGACCCCA